GTTCGCGGCGCTGTGATGCCTCGCACTGAGCTGCGCCAAGGTCACGCGGTCCTGACCCATGTCGCCCACCTTCGGACGGGAGAAGGTCACGAACCCCGCTTTGATGCATGCAGGCGCATGGCCAATCGCATGTCTTCGAGCGCGCATGGACGATGGTCCTTCATGATGCGCCCATGTGTCATCTGCTGCCAGACGACAAGACACTCCTGGAAGCGAAGTGCAACGTGTTGGCACGGATGGCACATGACTGTTGCCTCATCCTCTTCATCGACGCGAGCGCCAGCCATGCGGCACACGCGCGCAGATGGGCTTTCTGCAGCAGCCCACCTGTCATGCCTTCTCGTGATCTTCAGGGCGAGCTTCCGAATATTGTTGCGCTGAGCTGCGTCGTCGGATCTCTGGCCGGTGAATAGAATGCCGACGTCTGCGCTCGTGAACTGACGCGCGACGTTCTGATTCATATTATCACGGATCCAACTGTTGACGCCTGTAACGAAATCAACATCATCCTCGCCCACCTCACAGCACTGGAGCGTTCGCACATCTTGCAAGCGTGCTCATCGACATTGGCAGGGAGGTCGCGGAAGCATCTTTGGCAACATCGCTTAACCGTCTGAATTTCGGGTGCTCCTGCCCGGTAGCGAGATTGGCGGAAAGAGATTCGCATCCCTTATCTATCATCCAATCGGAGGGACCACCCATCGCAATGTCTGCGCGAGATTGGTGTGCTGAGGCAGTGCCAGGGTGCTCGGCCATGATCTGCATGGCCTGCTCCAAGAGGGCCGCCTCCTTCGCAGCCCTCTCGTCATCCTGGAGAAGAACATCGAGGTCAGCACAGAGTGCGTCAACGATCTGTTCATGGGTGGGGGCGGCCGCAGAAGTGGAGCTTCCTGGGTCAGGTTTGGGCCCTGGAGACACGCGGGATCCCTCGGGGCCGGTCTCTTCGGATGAGTGCGAGGGATTATTGGCGTCAGCCGTAGAAATGCGTGCGCCAGGTTGTTGCGCACGCGTGGGACTTTCGTCCGGCTGATCGCGAAATAATTGGCATTCTGATTGGAGAAGCCCCCGGAGGGCAACGTCGGCCGCGATAATATTGTCCCACATCCCGGATAACTACGATGTGTCTGTATGAAGCTGGCCTCGATCAAGCAACTCCGTGCCGTTCTCAATAGCGCCGCAGATATGTTGGGGCCACTGGAAGAGACCAAACCCGCTTGCGTAATCCGGGGAATCCGATTTCCAAAACAGTGAATGAAGCAAGGCGTTATAGCCACATAGATCTGGAATATCGATGGACCACTGATTGTGGTGATCGAGAGTCGTCTTGTAGAAGTCCATCTCCTTGCTGAAGCGCATTTTTACATCAAAAATGCGAACCGAACTTGTACGCACCTCTATAATACGTGATGCCAATAACTATGCTGGTAAACTTCGCACTAGTATGTCGATCAATGGCTTTGATATCCATGTACCCATTTCTGTGCCAGTAGCATGTTGTATAGCATCCGCACCTCCAGGGTAATTTGCCAAGTTCTCGGGCGGATCGAAGAGCTCGATCGTGTCCGTGTTCTCGTCCTCTTCGACTGCCGGGTCATCGTCACGCGTGGCCTGAATAGATTCGGGGTGTCTTGTGCGGGCGATTCCACTGGCACTTCAACGACTGAGTCGGCGTTTGGACTGTTTTTGTCGACGTGATCGCCCGTGTCGCACTGCGAAAGGTAGCGCGGACGTCGTCAGGAATCTGTTGGCGGAGAAGCTATGCGAACTTAACGCCCTTCTGCTCGTTCTGACGATCATTGTACCCGATGTTGACCCAACATGATATCTGCATGCAATAGAGGATGGTCCGCCCTGGGGTTGCGGTCCGGTGGGTCCGGTGGGTCCGGTGGGTCCGGTGTGTCCGGTGGGTCTGGTGGGTCCGGTGGATCCGGTGTGTCCGGTGTGTCCGGTGGGTCCGGTGGGTCCGGTGTGTCCGGTGTGTCCGGTGGGTCCGGCGGGTCCGGTGGGTCCGGTGGGTCCGGTGGGTCCGGTGGGTCCGGTGGGTCCGGTGGGTCCGGTGGGTCCGGTGGGTCCGGTGTGTCCGGTGCGTCCTGTGGGTCCTGTGCGTCTGGTGGGTCTGGTGGGTCCGGTGGGTCCGGTGGGTCCGGTGGGTCCGGTGGGTCCGGTGGGTCCGGTGGGTCCGGTGGGTCCGGTGGGTCCCGTGGGTCCGGTGGGTCCGGTGGGTCCGGTGGGTCCGGTGCGTCCTGTGGGTCCTGTGCGTCTGGTGGGTCTGGTGGGTCCGGTGGGTCCGGTGGGTCCGGTGGGTCCGGTGGGTCCGGTGGGTCTGGTGCTTTCTGTGGGTCTGGTGATTGGGTCTGGTGGGTCCTGTGGGTCCGGTGGGTTCGGTGGGTCCTGTGCGCGTGGTGGGCTTTGTAGGTTCGGTGCGTCCGGTGCGTCGAGAACCCTCCTCATCTTCATCATCGTCGTCATCCTCACCATCCTCGTCGCCATCATCAGCATCGTCAGTATCATCCAAATCACCTTCCTCATCTTCATCCTCCTAATCCTAATCCTCTTCATCCTCATCGTCCTCCGCATCGTCATCCTCGTCATCCTCATCCTCATCGTACTCTTCATCCTCATTGTCCTCCACATCGTCCTCATCGAGTCCTCATCCTCATCCTTATTTCTATCACCAGCATCCTCCTCCCCTCACTGTCCTCCTCCTCATCCTTCCTGGAGGCCTCCCGCATGGGGCCGCCCGAGGATGAGGAAGAGCAGCATAAGGAAGAGCCCGAGGAGGAATAGGAGGAGGGCAAATGAGACAATATGCAGCAGCAGCAACAGCAGCATGGCACACAGAGAAGTGGTATACATATGATGTGAACATGCGAGCGCCATGAGTGAACGCGAACGCGTGCACGAACAGAACTGCCCATGGCAACGCCTCGCTGAGCGGGCGGGCCCTAACGGGCGGGTCGGGTCGGGCGGGCGGGACATTAAAATACAATGCATCGTCGAGCTAACACGCGCGGCTCCAGGCGGGACGGGTCGGGTCGGGCGGACCCTGGCGGGCCGGGTCGGGACGGGTCGGGCGGGCCCTAGCGGGCGGGTCGAGTCGGGCGGGCGGGCGGACCCAACGGGCGGGTCGGGACTGGCGGGCGGGACATTGACGTATTATGCATCATCTAGTTGGCACGCGCGTACCCTCGCGGGCGTGTCGGGTCAAGTCGAGCGGACCCTAACAAGCGGGTCGGGTCGGGCGGGCGCACCCTAACAGGCGAGTCTGGTCGGGCGGGCGGGACATTAAAGTATGATGCATCGGGTTGGCACGCGCGTACCCTACCCTACGCGGTGATGCATCGGGTTGGCGCGCGCGTTAGGGTCGGGTCGGGTCGCCCGGACCCTAACGGGCGGGTCGGGTCGGGCGGGGCGGGGCGGGCCCTAATGGGCGGGTCGGGTCGGGCGGGCGGGACATTAAAGTATGATGCATCATCGAATTGGCACGCGCGTGCCCTGACGGGCGGGTCGGGTCGGGTCGGGTCGGCCGGACCCTAACGGGCGGGTCGGGTCGGGCGGGTCGGGTCGGGCGGGCGGCGCCACCGACGACGACGACTGCGGCGGCGACGACGCCAACAACGACGACGCCGACGACGCCGACGATGACTACGACGCGGCCGACGCCGACGACGACGACGACGCCGATGCCGAGGGCGCGGACGGGGACGATGACGCCGACGCCGACGCCGACGCCGACGACGACGACTGCGGCGCCGACGACAACGACGACGCCGACGACGACGCCGACGACACCAACGACGACGGCACCGACGACGACGACGACGACGACGAAGGCGCCGACGCCGACGACGACTCCGCCGACGACAGCAACGGCGGCGGCGACGCCGACGACGCCGACGACGCCGACGACGACGACGACGCCGACGACGCCGACGACGCCGACGACTACGACGCGGACGACGCCGACGGCGGCGGCGACGACGACGGTTGAACCGAACGGGCGGACCCTCACCGAAGAGGTCCTCCCGAGGCCGCACAACAGGGTCTGCCGAAGCATATCTGCCGACGCGGACCTGCAATTCGCGCGCTCGGAGTAGCCCCTGGAGGACCCCGGACGAAAAGTACCCGGCTGATCCCCGGCGGAATCCCGGTCAACTCCCCCAGAACGCTCCAGGAGAGGACCAGCACGGCTCGGAGACGTCCCAGTCGCCGAAAGATCGCCCCACGTCGGTCACGATGGCCTCCAGACGGCCTCAGACGCCGAAGAAGCCCCGAGAGAGACACAAGAGGCCAAAGACGTCCGATGCCATTGGGAAAACATATATGCTTAACAGATTCACCCTTGGGTGTTTCACAGCGTCCAAGATTGCCCACAAAACCTCCAAGATCGGCCCAACAAGGTCCAACGGGGCCTCCATGCGGCCCAAGACGGCCCATTAGGACAGCGCGAAATTCGGCACGCACAACACTAGCCAATTCGCAAAGAAACACCCAGACAATCCCAGGTGTCGCACATCTCCGCCCAAGAGGCCTCCGGGCCCAAAAATGCATCTTCCACCCCCTCCCCCGGACGCGTGGTTCTAGATGAATACCAAAGCTCTTGCAACATAGCTTGCACCCCATAGCTAACACCACGTTGCCCCACATAGATTGCACTATATAGCTTACACCACCCAGAGTGCACCACATAGATTGCAAGACAACCACTGTTTGGGGCCCACGCTGACTGGCATGCTTTTCAATGCACTACATGCAGCGCTACTACATTGCTTGCAAGGGTCGCCCTGCTGGAGAACCGCGGCATGCGGGCGGCATGCTCTCATGGCCCTACATTGCTTGCAAGGGTCGCCCTGCTGGAGAACCGCGGCATGCGGGCGGCATGCTCTCATGGCCCTGGCCAGGCCTGACGTTGCAGTATCTGGGGCAAAATGCCACTATGCCTACAAAGCACCGCCATTGCGGGACGCCTGGGCAGGAAGGGGGAGAGGAGCGCGCAAGTCCGACGCGCGTCAGCTTCAGCGTGCAGAGCTGTTGCCCGCCACCGGCTGCGGGCAGCGTCGCAGCCCTGGGCGGGGGCCAACGACGTGCACGACGGCCCAAAGTCGATCCTACGTGTTCAACGACCAGAGCTTGAACTGGTGCCTGTGTCGCTGGAGCTTTCGGAAGTATCAGAGCTGGGCTCTGCGCCTCGGCCTCGTGAGTGCACCGTGTTCCGCATATCGATGCATTCGGCCAAAAAGTAATTCGCCACATGCCGGCCCATTGTTCGCACCGTATGTTTATCCGCCACCGCGCCTCTGGTGCGCAGTCGCTAAGCCTGGTTTTTGTCATGGCCAAGCAAGCATCCTACTTGGAAAACAGGAAAGGATACGCCCCCCCTCCCGTTTCCGAGCGCTCTCGGGCGCGCGGCATTCGCAATCGGAGCGAGATGGCGGGGCAGCCGAAGGCTACTAGATACCTCGCCGCCCAAGAGAAGGTAATATCGCAGATGCTGGTGTTTGCGCCGTCAACGAGCTCCTTGACGCCTGGTGCGTCGGGGCAGCAGTGCTGCTTACACCATGGGTCGACATGGCCTCTGGCGTGAAATCTGTCCACCATCTATACGACGCACGGGTGCGCCAACAAGGCGGCTAAGGCAGACTGGTCCTTTCTATTGGTGCTGTATTGGCGGAGATGACAGGCGTCGTCGTGGATGACGACGTTCAAGGCGGGGAATTGCTTCTTCAAGCGGGCCAGAAAGCAATACCGCTGCGCCAAGCTTTCAACGCCGATAATGCGCCCGCTGGGCGAGCACGCGACAAGGAAGCCCCCAGTTCGCCGCACTCCAAGAGAAGCGGACTCCAGCTTGCCCCGTTTCCCTCCCTTGGCAAAGCTCTTGTGGGTTTTGCACGAAATCTGTTCCAGCTCCCTGAGTGATGCGTCGACCGCCGGAAGTGCCGCCGCGGGGTCTACGGGCTGCGCAGGCTGCGCAGCCGTCGCACGCGCGGCTCGGCCGGCGCTGCCATCGCCGCGGCTCGCCGAAGGGCGCGCCCCATCGCCGCAGCTCGCAGAAGTGCGCAGGCCAGCGGGCAACCTGCGCTTTCTCTGCGGCCTCGCAGGCAAACTCTGGACGGGCGCGGCTAAAGCAAACTCCTGTGGCGCCTCATCTGCTGGCGGGCCAGGTCTTGCCACTGGTGGCCCAAGTGGTGCTTTGCGTTTTCTCAAGCGGAACCGGGGCAATTTCGCCTTGAGTTTGTCCGGCGCCCCCTCGCTGGCACGGGGCTCGGCCGCGTCTTTCGCGGCGTCTGCGGCGCGCCTGGCCAAAGTGGACTGGACGGCGCCCCAGCAGCCTTCAATATCGTCAACCACTCGAACTGCTCCGACGCCTTGCCGCTGCGACGTCACACAGAGCACGTCGTCCAGCGTGCCCCCCAAGCATTCGCGGCGCCGGACAAGAAAAACGTTTGCGTCTTTGGCGCCCTCAAACGGCACGGGCTTCTCCAGCGAACGGGCGCGGCAAGTGCACCAGCGCTCGCGCTGGCCCCTCGTGGGGGCAGGGCAGGGGTGCAAGCGCGCCTGGCCGAGATTTGGATCGCAGGTGTAGCCTCCATACATCAACCCGCAACACTTCCGGGTGAGCTTCTGATGCCCGTCTATGACGACCTTAGAAACCTCCCCGTCGATCTCGGCGCGCCGGCGCCGCAAGTTCCGCAAGTGGGTCTGCAACTGCGGCCAATTAGCTTGGATGACGTGCTCGACAGGCGCCGACAACCGGAGCTGCAAATGCGACCTGGACCCCTTCGTTTCTGCCAGACGCGTCAACAGCCGCATCAGGAACCACGCCTTCATCAGCTTTATGTGCATTCTCTTTTGGGAGATGCCCGATTGAGGCCGCCAATGAACTTCAGCCTCCCCCCAAAATGAAATGTGCTGATGAGCGAGGCGTCGTGAAAATTGTCTGAACCAACTCTGCGTAATGCCAAACGTTGGGGAAATCATGAAAGGCTCCGGCCAATCATCACAAATCCACACATATCTGCGGACGCCCTTCTTCAAAGAAATAAAGTTGGCCCACTGGCACTTCCCTCGCGAAATGCACCCCGCCGCCTGGCACCTGACTGGGACATGCGTGAACTCGTGGAGCCCATCGGTGTCAAGAACAAGCGCGGTGTCGGCTTCATTGCGGCACACTTGCCCATGCGAACATGCGTGGCAGCGTCGCCCTGGGGGCGCGACCTCTCCGACGCTGCTGCGCGCCACCACCGCAGCCGCGAGTCTCTGTATATCTGCGGGAGCGAGCAGCCCCGCCACGTCGGCAGACTCCAACGCTTGTTCTTCAGTGGCCGGGTCCATGAGTTGCGCGGCCACGCGCGGGGCAGGCCGCGCAACTTGAGCCCAAAACTACGGAGCGTCGGAAATGAGTCGGCGGCTCAGGGGCTACCTAGAGGCAGTCTGAACTCGAATGCCCCCCCAGGAGACTTTGCCCAAAGGGTTCGAACTTGTTCTCAAAGAACTGACAAGGGCCCGGAATGCGCTGGCCAGCCCCCCCCGGCTTGCTGCCCGCGTTGCACGGGCTTGTCTGGGTTGACTCCTCTTGCTGCCCTACTTGTCTCTCGCCCCCTCGGTTTCCCATCCGCGCGTCTCTCGCCCCCGTGGTTCCCCAAATGTCTCTTGCCACTCTGGCTCCCCAATTGTCTACTGCCCTTTCGGTTCCACAATTTCGCTTAGCGTATCCCTGCTCTGTGCAGCGCATATCTTTGCATTTCGTCGCGTTGCTCTGAACTGCGTTGATATGGCGTGGAAGAAAGAATAACCAAATCGGGGTCGCACCGCTTTCACTTGCGTGGTGCTCGGGGAACGCAACGGGATGGGGGCGTAGATGGATATGGTTTCCTGTCCTGAAGCGAATCCTCGGCCACCGTCTAGCTCGCCCGGCCCGCGATGCCAAGGGGCTCCGGCATGCCCGTGCCGCGCTCATATGGCTCCGCAAAGGCCATCCTCGGCCGTCTGCATAGCAAAATGGCGCCGGGCCAAATGGGCGCCGCCCAGCGCGAGGGCCGCGCAAGGGGGCGACGCCAGTGGAGAAGGGGGCAGGGCGCGAGAAGCAAAATGTCTGAAAGCATCGCGAGGGGAAGACTGCAGCCCAGCACGGACCCGCCGCGCCGAAGTAACCCTGGGCGACGGGGGGTCGCGAACGCAGGTCCGGCCGACGGGGAAACGCCGCCAGCAAACTGAGCGGGGCACGCCTGCGTCGCGAGAGCGGCAAGCGCGGGCCGCGCGCCCGCGCCCGCGCGACGAAGACCCTGGGCAACGTGAGTCACCGCCCAATGCCTTGCGCTCGCCCCGCAGGCCTCGCGTCGCGGCCTGTGAACCTGCAGCCTGCGCCTGCGCATGTCAAGCAAGCGATTGTAGCGCATCTAAGAGAGTATGCATTGAAAAACTGTTGAAGCACATGCGAACGTGCCGTTAGAAATTCACTGGCAGCGTCTTAAGCGACTCCATCGCGAGACCTGTTGCATGGCGGGACCCGCGATAAAGCGCAATGCCTCATCTTCTCCAGGCGATTGCCCGAAGCGGCGCACTGTGGCCGGAGACACCCGGGGGAGATGCCGCGCAACCTGATTTGTTCAAAATCGCGCCCCAATGGGCCTGGGAGAGGTGCCGCGTGGCGTAGGGCGATCAAAATCGTCGCCCGACGGCCCATCGGGCGATCTGGAGTCGCGCTGCTGGCCGAATACGGCCGCGCCAGCCCCCCGCCGGTTCGAGCGCAGCGCGTCTGCTTGACTAGCGTTCGAAACGCGGGGTGCCAAAAAGCGAGCGGATAGCTACCCGCTTGTTGCGGGGGCCTGGGCCCGCTCCAAGAGGGCCCTCACCTCGCGGCCTGTAAGCCTGCACATGTCCACCAGGAGATTGTGCCACTTGACCATGGCCTCGCGCCCGGCCGCCGCCGACGGCGGCGCGTGCCACTGAACCCTGGATCTCGGCGTGCCCACCTCGAGCAAGTCGCCGACAGGGTACTGCGCCAAGGCAGCGGCCATCACGTCCTCCCGTCCTCCCAGTAGTAGTAGTAGTAGTAGTAGTAGTAGTAGTAGTCGTAGTAGTAGTAGTAGTAGTAGTAGTAGTCGTAGTCGTAGTAGTAGTAGTAGTAGTAGTAGTAGTAGTAGTAGTAGTAGTAGTAGTAGTAGTAGTAGTAGTAGTAGTAGTAGTAGTAGTAGTAGTAGTAGTAGTAGTAGTAGTAGTAGTAGTAGTAGTAGTAGTCGTAGTAGTAGTAGTAGTAGTAGTAGTAGTGTCGTAGTAGTAGTAGCAGTAGCAGCAGTAGAAACAGCGGTAGTAGTAGTAGTCGTAGTAGTAGTAGTAGTAGTAGTAGTAGTCGTAGTCGTAGTGATAGCAGTAGTAGTAGTAGTCGTAGTAGTAGTAGTAGTAGTAGGAGTAGGAGTAGTAGTAGTAGTAGTAATAATAGTAGTAGTCGTACTAGTCGTAGTAGTAGTAGTAGTAGTAGTAGTAGTGGTAGTAGTAGCAGTAGGTGGTAGTAGCATTAGTAATTGCAGTAGTAATAGCAGTGGTAGTAGTAGTAGTAGTAGTTGTTGTTGAAACACTAATAGTAGCAGCGGTAGTAGTAGTAGTAGTAGTAGTAGTACTAGTAGTAGTGGTCGTGGTCGTACTAGTAGCAGCGCTAACATTAAAAACAGTCGTAGCACTCGTAGTAGTAGTAGTAGTAGTAGTAGTAGTAGTAGTCGCAATCGTAGTGGTAATTGATAATGTTTGTAGCAGTCGTCGTAGTAGTAGTAGCAGCAGCAGCAGCAGCAGCAGTAGTAGTAGTAGTAGTAGTAGTAGTGGTACTAGTAGTAGTAGTAGCGGTAGCACTAGTAGTAGTAGTAGTACTAGTAGTAGTAGCAGTAGTAGTAGTAGTAGTAGTAGTAGTGGTAGTAGTAGTAATAGTAGTAGTAGTAATTGTAGTAGTAGTAGTAGTAGTAAGTTCAAGAGTAGTCGTGGTGGTAGTCGTAAGAGTAGCGATGGTAGTGGTAGTGGTAAGAGTGGTAGTAGTAGTAGTAGTAGTAGTAGTAGTAGTAGTAGCAGTGGTAGTAGTAGTAGTAGTAGCAGTAGTAGTAGTAGTGGTAGCACTACTAGAAATAGTAGTAGTAGTAGTAGTAGTAGTAGTAGTAGTAGTAGTAGTAGTGGTAGTAGTGGTAGCACTCGTAGTAGTCGTAGTAACAGTAGTATTATTATTATTAGTAGTAGTAGTGGTAGTAGTAGTGGTAGTAGTAGTAGTAGTAGTAGTAGTAGTAGTCGTAGTAGTCGTAGTAATAGTAGTAGTAGCAGTGGAACTAGTAGTAGTAATAGTAGTAGTAGTAGTAGTAGTAGTAGGACTCGTAGTAGTAGTAGTAGTAGTAGTAGTAGTAGTAGTATAGTGCTAGTACTAGTAATAGTACTAGTAGTAGTAGTAGTAGTAGTAGTAGTGCTAATAGTAGTGGTAGTAGTAGTAGTAGTAGTAGTAACAGTAGTGGTAGTAGTAGTAGAAGTAGAAGAAGAAGAATAAGTAGTAGTAGTAGTAGTAGTAGTAGTAGTAGTAGTAGTAGTAGTAGTAGTAGTAGTAGTAGTAGTAGCAGTCAGGAATAAAAACATAAAGACATAAATAAATAACAAGAAATAAACATAAAGCAAAAAGACAGAGAGGCAGGAAATAAGACAGAAAGAAAGAGAGACATCAAGAATGCTAGCGGCCATCTGTCTTTTTCTGTGACATGCAAAGGAGCGTTAGCGAGGAGAGGCCGTGGCGCGGCCTCAGAAGCGGGGCGGGCGGGAACACCAGTCCGCGCGCGCGCGCCCTGCGAGGGGCAGCCCGCGCTGCTTGAAAAAGCAAAGCTTGCACTCCCCTTCTGGCATCAGGTACAGGGGCGGCCGGCCAGGCTTGCGCTTGGGCGGCGGCGCGGGCTGGGAGGCAAGCGCCGCCGGCGCAGCAGAAGCAGGCGCTGGCGCGACGGACGCTGACGCGACTACGGCGGCAAGCGGCGCGGAAGCAGAAGCAGGCGCTGGCTCGACAGGAGCAGGTAAAGGGGCGGCAGGAGCAGGCAGGGCTAGGAGGGGAGAGGGCGCCTGATACTCCGCAGCGGAGTGGCCCTCAGAACCCGGCGCGGCGGCTGAGGAAGAGGAAGACGAAGAGGAAAAAGAAAACGAAGGAACGCCGTTCGATGTCAGCCTCTCCTGCGCGCGCTTCTTCTTGGCGCGCGCGTTCTTGAGACGCGCCAGCAGACTAGCCTCCTTGGTGATCAACTTGAGGACCCGTTGCTCTAGCTGTTTCCAAGCCCCACCCATGGCCCACGCACTTCTTCAGTTCCCAAAAATCCAGCTCGAGACAAAAACCTACGGATGCGGACAACTACACCAACGAGCAACCGAGAAATTCATGACTGCTCCTGCTGCTGTTGCTGCTGCTACTGCTGATCCTTCCCCTCCAAATATCCTTCCTAATCTTCCTCATGATCCTGATCTCCCTTCCAAATTGCCATCGTGATCATGGTCGTCATCATCATCATGATCATCATGGTCACCATCATCACCACCATCACAATCATCTTGATCATCAGCACTGCCATTGAAGTGGTCATATTCATGATCATCATCATGTTCACCATCATCCTCATCACGGTCTTCATCGTCATCATGATCAGCGATTTCATCCCCAGCATGATGATCATCATCATGATCATCAACATCATCATCATCATCAGTGTAGATACTCTAAGATACGAGTTAGGCCAATATCTCGTATCGTCCAATGTGGCCAGGCCCCAGGATACGAATCGGGCCAAGTTCGTATCTTCAGCGGTGGCTTGTTCGCAGTGCCTTCAATGTCTGCCGGCATAGGCGCATAGGCGCATCATCATCATGATCATCATCACCATCATCATCGTCACTGGCCTCATCATCACCATCATCCTGATGATCATCATCAGCATCAACAGTTGCGAACTATCACCATGACATCATCATTGTTATTGCCATCGTCATGGCCATCACCATCGTTCTCATTATCATCATTGACATCATCGTCGTCACCACCGTCATCAGCATCATGATCAGCATCATCATCAGCAGCATCATCATCAACATCACCATCATCATGAACACTATCATCGTCATCAGGTGTATCATCATGTTCATGATCATCATGATCATGATCCATCATCATCATGATCATGATCATGATCATCAGCACCATGATCATCATCATCGTCATCAGCATCACGATTATCGGTCGCTCTCATCCTATCTCCCTCTCCATTATGCCCCCTCCTTCCTCCACTCCCCGCCCTATCTCCCTCTCCGCTTTCCTTCTCCTCTCTTCTCCACTCCCCGCGTCCTCTCTTTCCACTCCTTCACGCGCATGATGGCTCAGAGGCCACTAAGACGGCAACCAGACAGTTCAAGAGGCCGCCAATACAGCCGAAGAGGGCACATAGGGATTGTAGATCTTATAGGGCTAATAGGTCTCATAGGCCTCATGGGGCTCATAGGGCTCAGGCCTTATAGCGCTCACAGGGATCACAGGACTCGTAGAGCTCAAAGGATCACAGAACTCGTAGTGTTCATGCGACTCCTAGGGCTCATTGGGCTCAGAAGACTCATGGGGCTCGTAGGGCTCATGGAGCTCATAGGGCTCATAAGGCTCACCGGTCTCATAGGGCTCGTAGGGTTCGTAAGGCCCTCAGGGGTTGATAGCGCTCGTATGGCCCATGGGGTTCGCAGTGCTCATTGAAATATTTTTTTAATTATTTAAGCGTTGGATTGCGTGCTAATTTAAACAACCATTTTGATTAACATTCAACGTTTCATACACCTACCTCTCCACCGTCATCGTTGCGCGCCTCCCCCACACAGTGCCAATGCTTAAATGAGCAAGGGAACCGCGCAAATAATTAAATAAATAATTAAATGGTTATTTGATTACTGACATGTTCGCTTGCGTGCTCATTGAAATAACAATTTTGCTTAGCAT